TAGAACAGGGGAGGCAACAAGCGCGTCAATTATTCCGTGCCAAAACCAAAGAACTGGTTGGAGATTAAAAATAGATTGCTTACTATCGTTTGATCACATTTAGACAAATGCTTACATAAATATATAATAATTGAGAAAGCTATATATGGAGAGAATTACCACAAGGTTTTTATTATATCAGTGATGTCAAACCAACCAAATACGGTTATCAATTGTTTCTTATCAATTTACAAGAAGAGTGTAGTTATATAGTCTGGTCTCCTAGTAAAATGAACGAAGAACTTAATAAAAATGTTGAATATCGCTTTATCGATAAAAATAATGAAGAATATTTTTATTACCATTTAGGCTCATCTAAAGCAATGATTGGCCCCAGGTATTGGTGAGCTGGAGCCAATTTAACTTAATCTTATAACTATCGTTAAATCGCATAATCATTTTGGCATAAAAAATGCCCCCTGTAGTAGCAGTATAGGTATATGAATCCGGCTCCAGTGGAAGTGAGCCAGAACCATCATTACCTATACTACTACTACAAAGCACACATTTGCTATCTGCATAACAAACCTAACTAATTTCTCATCAATTTACAAACAAGTTAAACATTATTAATTTTCATTGAAATAACTTGTTGATACAATAAGGCAAAACCTTCAAATACGTATATGAATAGATTCCATTCTCTATGCACAAGCCAACAGTTGAATGTTGTGATTACGAAAGGTTGGGAGTGTCAGATCATATGTACCTGGTAACTCTTTTTGGGACAAAGTGTCTAAAACATAATTTAGTATTTATTCATATTCAAGGCATCTATTCTCAAATCTCACATATTATCATCTTTGGTACATACTTTTTCAACCAAAATTTTGTGAAACAGGAATAATCTTGTGAAAATAATAACATGTCTTTGCTCCCTGAGGTAACAAGGTTATCAAAAACATTGACAAGAATCATTCATCACCAGTCAGAATGTGGATAAGCATTAAGGTTCTTTGACGAATCATTCGTTCATATAATCGCGAAATCGTCATTACAAAGCACATCACTAACAGAATTCTGTTGCATAAATTGTAGTAATCTTTTTTATATACAGCAACATGTGAGCGTGACTGTAACATTGATGCAATTATATGATCTATAGGATCTATAGGCTACATGTATCTGAGAGAACTTGATTAATCTTGACAAATGTTGTATGATTTATTCATCATTCTTGTTGTGAATTTCAACCAGTTCCGAACACTACATCTGTGGCACTGACAATATGGCCCAAAACCATACAGTTTATGTTAAGTGTGCAAGACATTGTCACAATACTTAATGATAGATTGTCATTTTGAAAATACATGACACTGATCTTATTGCATCACAGTTTTGTGAGATGTTTGTTTATGAATGTTTTTTTGTATTGCATTATCAAAATGTTTAAAAATCAAGTTTTCATTAAAACATGACATTTTCAGTATTACATGACATTTTCAGACTAACTAGTTTCTGTAGACTTGTAATTCATATCATTCTCATGTTACTGTCACTCTATCTAACTCTATTAATACCTATATATATGCTACCAATTTTATCCAGTATTTAATCAGGAGATAAAAATACTGTGTTTTCAATGTTTCACTTGGTAACCTGTAAACTGCACTAAATTGAATTTGGAAACGAAAACAGAGAATGAGGTTTCAAATCTTAAATTAAGCATGGATAAATCTACAGGTAACCGTGCTCCACGTTAAAAACATGTTGTGTTTATGCTTGTTGTAAGAGGCGACTAACAGGATTGGGTGGTCAGGCTTATTGACATGGTTGACGCTTGTCACCATATCCCAAATCATAGATTGATGTTCATGATGCTAATCACTTTATTGTCCGGTCCAGACTTCTGTACAGACCACCGTCATATAGCTGAAATATTGTTGGAGTGCGGTGTTAAACAAAAAAGTGAACAAACAAACAAAATCACCGACACTGGTGCTGTATATGCTTAAACAGTTTGTTTACACACAGGTCAGGCATTAAAAGCATGTAGCACAAAAATTACCATGAAGTGGGCACCCCAAAAGAAAACTAAGCTAGCCACTAGGATGACATATCACTCACTGTGACACAAAAGATATGACGTAACAGTCCTAAAATGAAAAGTGCCAATGTCAAGCTCTCTGTTGTCCTCAAAACTTGAAATTCATTCTCTCTGTAGCTTTTTTATGGTTTTCTGCATAAAATGTATTGCCACACATCCTTTCAATATTGTAGTGAAACTTTGCATGTTGTATCCTATAAATTTTAAAATGCTTATTGACAATGACTGTAAAAAAAGTACTACTTTATAAAATATTAGTTTCCAAATCAGCCTTTTTAATAAGAGGGGGATTATTGTGATTTCATAACCTGATTGTCCAATCAGAATCAAGTTATTTCCATCAAGTATTTGTGGGAAATCAACTCATCAAATATGGAATTGGAATTGACTGCCACTTAGCCATCTTAGATTTAGAACAAATCTACTCCAAAACTTCAAGAGTGTTGATGCCATAACAACAATACTGATAATGCTATTTATGGCCATTACTTCTGAAGTCATTTTTGTTTGAAAGGTGATACATGTGCAGTAATTTTAGTGCTCTTGTTAAATTATACATTTTAACTTGACCTCATCACATCCAGCTTTCGAAAAGATGAAACTTCTTTTGGACATTACTGAGCCATGTTTGTACAGTATGTAATGAAATCCAGGAGAGATTGTAATGGGGATCATCACAGATTCTGTTTTCGTAATGTTTTATATTTTGACCATTACATGCCCTTAATTTGCACTCTCTCAAAATGCAATTATTTGCACAATACAAGCAATCTTCTCAAGAGACCACTGGACAATGAAACTTTACCTGATTGAAAACCCCAATTTCTTGAATTGGATATTTGCCACCCATAACTAGGTTATTGCTCAAAATAATGAAATTTGGTTAGTTGGTAGTGGGACTCAACACTTGTTCCTTTTCGCATTATAATGACATAATAATTCTTCCAATATTAAGGGTGTTTTTCACTTCTTACTCCCGCGGTTTATATTCTTTAGTGCAGAGTTTTGTCCCTGGATGTGTTGGGTTCATGGTTCAGCAACATACACATGCTCATGGGTTTGACCAGTGGTAAATGTCTAAGACCTACATCACACTGGGCTTTCCTCCCACATCAAGTTGATACGCCGTGATATACCTGAAATACTGTTCAAAGCGGCGTCTAACCTAACTCACTCAATCATTCCAGGTGAGCGGGTGTTCATGTGCCACAGTGAATAAAAGAAACCATAATTATTATAAGGAATTATGTTGCACAAAGTTATTTAATTAAATGTTACATCCAGTTTCATAGTAAGTCAATTTGTCCATGTGTCTCAGTAACTGATGGCAACCAATGAAACAACACTTTCAGTACAAAGGTTCCCCCAAAGTACTAGTTACATGTGCCATAAGCCATAATTAGCTGCCCGCTGCGGCTCAGTGTATACTCCTCAATGAAATTTGCTAATATTAGCCATATATATGACATGCATAGTTGTCACAATAGGTCTCCAGCAACCCATGCTTGCCATAAGAGGCGACGATGCTTGTTGTAAGAGGCGACTAACGAGATCAGGTGGTCAGACTTGCTGACTTGCTTGATGTGTGTCATTGTATCCCAATTGCGTAACCTGATGCTCATGATATCAGTCACTGGATGGACTGGTCCAAACTCAAATATTTACAGACTGCTGTCATATAGCTGGAATATAGTTATAGAAACAAGCAAACAAACACAACAATGAGTTCACTGCTGCATCCTAGCAACAGTATTTTTAGAAACTGCTCATTTGTAAGCCTGTTCTGATTGAATAGATGATATTTGGCAAAACACACAGCCATTTCTGTCCGTATAATTGTTTTTTTTATGTGCATGCAAGTTCAGTTCGTTCATGTATTACTGCATTATGGATGTTGAAACCTTCATTGCTTTCTTCTTTACCCTCGGGTGGTTGTGTAGCCCAGTGGTGAAAGCGTTCGCTCATCACGCCAAAGACCTGGTTTCAATTCTCCACATGGGCACAGTGTGTGAAGCCCTTTTTATTTGTTGCATTTCATGTAAAACAGAAAACGACTTCCATGTTACAAAAAAAATGTATGCCATGAAGACCAAAATTTATAGAATCTGTCTTATACCCACTCATAAATGCTGCTCATTTAATAACTGCTTTAATAAAACTACTTAAGTTCATTCTGGAAGATCTGGAATGATGGAATATGCCTTGTATCTTTACATGAAAAAAAGATTTCTGCAAAGAATAATTAATGGGTCATTATAGTGTAATTGGTATCCAAGCACAACATGTCTTTTTGTGATATTTCCTTTCCAGTGAATTCTATGCTTGTCTTAAGAGGCGACTAACGGTATCGGGTGGTCAGGCTCGCTGACTTGCATTGATGCTCATGATATGAATCTCTGAAATGTCTGGTCCAGACTCGATTAATTACAGACCGCTGTCATATAGGTGGAATATTGCTGAATGCGGCAGTAAACAACAAACCAAAACATATATTACTGTCTACATATCCTATTGGTAGGGAGTTATGTAGATTCTTATTTAGAAACCAGTGGAGCTTAGTATCCACAGTGCACATATATGGGTTACGTTATTGTAGTTTGTCCAGTATTATTAGTAAAGGATGTAATGGGATTTGTTTTGTAATGGGATCGTGCCATGTATGTCTCGACACATCTGTTTGTACATTATATTTGTAACACACGTTTAGAAGGATAGAAATTTATCTTTGTCTTAGCTAAATGCTTGGTACGGGCCTGTTGAATAAATTCAATGTTTGTCTGGTAGGCTTGTCTAATTTTGGAGGAATCGTGGATTTCTGAGAATGGAAATTGGCAATTGTTGTATTTGTATGACTAACCAATTACATTAAAGTTGCAATTTATGTATTGTTCAAATATTTATTTGACATGTCCAGGACCAGTAAAGCTGCAAGATTTTGTCGGCCAGTCAAAAGTGGATGCTGCAATCCAAGGTATCACTTTTAGTGCTATCATGAAGATAGTTATCAATGAAATTATTGGTATATGATTCCACATACAATATCATGTATAGCGTATTTATTCCTTGAGGCTATACTATACAATTCAAAGTAAATGCTGAAATCACATGTGGTTAATATTTTTATAATTTATGTAAATTGTTATGTAAATTTCATGTCCAGTTGCTCATCCTAAGTATAAAAGAATCTGCACACAATGTTGAAACTTTTTAAATGCACAAGATTGATTTTTCTCTCAATATTCTCAATACTCAAATCAGTATTCTGTAAATAAACAAGTTTTGTACAATTTTATTTGTTTTCATAGTGATAATACTGATGTAAATACTATTTTCAGGTGAAACTTTCTTTCTCATGGTGGGGCACATGCATGAAGATGTGGATCAACTGTTTAGTGTATTTGCAAGGGAACTTAGACAGAAGCCGGCAACAACCCGCGATGCCCTCCTTCAAGATGGGGGACATCCGGACACCCACCATCAAGCTATCAGACTTCAAGCCCTTCATGCCTGCCCCAAGGGAAGCGACAACCCTCCCAAGAGATTCAAGAGGCAATAGAGAAGAACAATGAAAAACTGCAAAAACAATCAAAGGTAATTTCAATAAATATTGCATTTCTTTTGAAATATGTATTGTGATGTGTAATATTAGGGTTAGTCAGCGTTACTTAGAATATGTTTTAATGTGGGCAGAGAAACAACCCAACTTCATGAGGTTACTATTTTTGCTTTTATTGTATAGATGCACTGTGATTTTAATTATGTTCTCATATTCTTTACATTTTTTTTCTTTACTTTCAGATCACTCTGACAAAGCACCGAAGACAAGCGTCAGTATCAGAACAATAAAGAAGGAGCAGCAAGTTTTGCTGAAATGAACATTTTTTGTCTAAGCTATGTGGCTGAGATATTGCCGAGGATTGCATTGCAGGAGTTTTGTACTTAGTATGTTAAAGCTGTGTATTTAGAATTGTATATATATATATACATATATAAGATGAGATGTGCACAATGAAATTTATGAAACAATATATGCAGTTATATTGTAAAATCTTGGTTGTGTTCTATTTTTTTTCCATGTCTGAAGTTAACCTACTTTCAGAGTACCGTATATCACATGTAGGTTGTTTCTTTGAATTCCAACAGGGGATTATATATTTGGTTGGCCCCATGGAATAATTATTAAATTTATTTTTTGAGAATCACATTCACCTTTAATGTTGTACACTTCAAAGTCGTAAAAAGGCCATTGAAGATGGTCACTGAAATTCTCATAATAATTTAGATAATTATAGGGTAAGCTCAATGATTTGCATCTGTCTTAGTATACAAAGGTATGAGGCCAACATATTGTTCCATTGTTTAATTCGAGTGACGTCAACTTTTCTTGATAAATTTGGTAAATATAATACCAACATAAATATCTTCAATTGCTGAATTCAATTTAAACTCTCCAAAGATTGATGGTTGATATTACTGCAGAAAAAAATTCTGCCGGAAATTTCTGTAGAAAAAAATAATTCTGCCAGACATTTCTGTAGAAAAAAAAAATACTGCCAGAAATTTCCGCAGAAAAAAAAAATTCTGCCAGAAATTTCTGCAGTAATGCATTTTCTGAGCCAATTTTTGAGCTTGTGAACATGTGAATACACTGGGACACACATTATTTGGATTCGACTCCTCGAGAGCTTTCCAATGATTTAAAACGTGTTTTTGTAGCTCGCTTCCTTCTGTGTGGTCAAGTTCGGACTCCTGGCCATTCCTAAGTTGTCCCGCCCTGCCTAGTCTGATTATAAATATAAATCATCCAGTCCATAACAGACGCTAAGTGTATATGTGTGTTGTAGCATGGTTGGCCACTGTCTTGTAGTAATGTATCTCTGTGTGTCCATCATCCGGTCCCTATCCCACGCTACACGTATGTGTTATATCATGGTTGTCCGCTGTGTTTCAGTACTGTATGTTCCCATATCAATCATCCAGTCCATAACAGACGCTATGTGTTATATCATGGTTGTCCACTGTGTTTCAGTACTGTATGTTCACATACCAATCATCCTGTCCATAACAGACGCTAAGTGTATATGTGTGTTATATCATAGTTGGCCATTTTATTTTAAAAATTTAGTCTGTACTACAAGACAGCGGCCAACCATCCTAAAACACACATATAAACTTAGCGTCTGTTATGGACTGGATGATTGACATGGGAACATACAGTACTGAAACAAAATGGCCAACCATAATATAACACACATATACACTTAGCGTCTGTTATGGACTGGATGATTGACATGGGAACATACAGTACTGGAACAAAATGGCCAACCATGATATAACACACATATACACTTGGCGTCTGTTATGGACTGGATGATTGACATGGGAACATACAGTACTGAAACAAAATGGCCAACCATGATAGAACACACATATACACTTAGCGTCTGTTATGGACTGGGTTATTGGTATGGGAACATACAGTACTGAAAAACAGTGGACAACCATAATATCACACATATGTGTAGCGTTGGATATGGACCGGATGATGGTCACACAGAGATACAGTACTACAAGACAGCGGCCAACCATGCTACAACACACATATACACTTAGCGTCTGTTATGGACTGGGTTATTGGTATGGGAACATACAGTACTGAAAAACAGTGGACAACCATAATATCACACATATGTGTAGCGTTGGATATGGACCGGATGATGGTCACACAGAGATACAGTACTACAAGACAGCGGCCAACCATGCTACAACACACATATACACTTAGCGTCTGTTATGGACTGGATGATTGACATGGAAACATACAGTACTGAAACAAAATGGCCAACCATGATATAACACACATATACACTTAGCGTCTGTTATGGACTGGATGATTGACATTAGAGGTGTAACGATACGGGAGGGTCGCGATACGATACGTATCGCGATACAGGGGTCGCGATACGATACGTATCACGATACAGTGTTTACTGGTACAAGCTAAGCCAAGTTGATGTCTTTCTGCTCTCTAAAAGATGTGACAAGTACAGTTGAAGAAGATATAAGGCGTTTATTTACTGTTATAGCAAATTGTCAGCAATACAGTATGTTTTACTGAAACAACAAACTGGCTTTGAAATTGTTAAACGTATTTCATGTTTAAAAGTACCGTATTTTCTTGAGTATAGTGCGCACCTATGTATAATGCGCACCCCCTCTAGCGGGTTCAATATTTTGGAAAAAAAAAGAAATTTGAATATTATGCGCAGAAAAAAATTACACCGTACCCCTTCAGCGAAGTCCGGCAAACGAACGGGTGATGAGAAACTTCGTCAGTACAAATTCGAAATTTGAGATTAAAAATCACCAGACATGTTGATTTACCGTTTAAATTGTATTTTTTGTTCAGCTAGGCAATGTTTTATATCCAGGGATTAAGATTACCTTGTGTATTTTCTCGTAAACTAAGCCGGACACAGCAATCAGCTGTACACACGTTTTCTTGGAATCTACCGGTGATTCGGTCAAGACACACCCAATGATATAACTTTACAGGATTTTAATGCAAGGATCGGCAAAAGTTGTATCTGAAACTATTTTTTTTATCAGGAATAATATATTCCAATATCTTGTTAATTTAGATGCAGCTTTTACTAAACATATTTAAAATAATAATAACCCTAAGCGAAGCAGCTGATCGCTATTGTCGGGTATTATTTTTTACATGGAACCAGTCTGACCAGTCACCGTCAAGGCTCCCGTGCACGTGATCGCGAGAATTACGTGTTGACATAGAATCGTCCAACAAAAACAAATATGACTTTTAACGAATCAAAGTATGGCATTTATGATATATGTATCCATTCTCTGTCAACTAAAGTTCGTTTCAAGGCGTCAATAGCGGTAATCTGACCGTGGTTGCTGTTAATAACGGTGAGTTGTGCGATCTTCCGATCGCTCACACACGATTTCGCCGAAATTAATAAAAACAATATTAAAGGAATTTTGAATAGAATTAATGAAATAAGTTACAAACATAAGTCCAGATATACAAAGAACACTTTTTATAGCCAGACAGTGTAATTACATGAATAATTTGCGAACTTCAGTATGGATTTGTTGACATGGTATTTCCGGTGTTACGTGCACGGTAATGTCTTTCCATGGGGGAAAAACATCAAAACTCATTAAGTAAAACTGTGTCATGAAAATATCGTATGTATCGCGATACATGCTTTCCAAATCGATGCATCGTATCGTGGGCTGTGCATCGGGATACAATACTGTATCGCCGTATCGTTACACCACTAATTTACATGGGAACATACAGTACTGAAACAAAATGGCCAACCATGATATAACACACATATACACTGAGCGTCTGTTATGGACTGGATGATTGGTAAGGGAACATACAGTACTGAAAAACAGTGGACAACAGTATCACACATACGTGTAGCGTGGGATATGGACCGGATGATGGTCACACAGAGATACAGTACTACAAGACAGTGGCCAACCATACTACAACACACATATACACTAAGCGTCAGTTATGGACTGGATGATTGACATGGAAACATACAGTACTGAAACAAAATGGCCAACCATGATATAACACATACGTGTAGCGTGGGATATGGACCGGATGATGGACACACAGAGATACAGTACTACAAGACAGCGGCCAACCATGCTACAACACACATATACACTTAGCGTCTGTTATGGACTGGATGACTGACATGGGAACATACAGACCTGAAACAAAATGGCCAACCATGATATAACACACATGTACACTAAGCGTCTGTTATGGACTGGATGATTGACATGGGAACATACAGTACTGAAACAAAATGGCCAACCATGATATAACACACATATACACTTAGCGTCTGTTATGGACTGGATGATTGACATGGGAACATACAGTACTGAAACATAATGGCCAACCATGATATAGCACACATATACACTTAGCGTCTGTTATGGACTGGATGATTGGTAAGGGAACATACAGTACTGAAAAACAGTGGACAACCATAATATCACACATACGTGTAGCGTGGGATATGGACCGGATGTTGGTCACACAGAGACACAGTACTACAAGACAGCGGCCAACCATGCTACAACACACATATACACTTAGCGTCTGTTATGGACTGGATAATTGATATGGGAACATACAGTACTGAAACACAGTGGACAACCATGATATAACACACATATACACTTAGCGTCTGTTATGGACTGGGTTATTGGTATGGGAACATATAGTACAGAAAAACAGTGGACAACCATAATATCACACATACGTGTAGCGTCTGATATGGACCGGATGATGGTCACACAGAGATACAGTACTACAAGACAGCGGCCAACCATGCTACAACACACATATACACTAAGCGTCTGTTATGGACTAGATGATTGACATAGGAACATACAGTACTGAAACAAAATGGCCAACCATGATATAACACACATATACACTTAGCGTCTGTTATGGACTGGATGATTGACATGGGAACATACAGTACTGAAACAAAATGGCCAACCATGCTATAACACACATATACACTTAGCGTCTGTTATGGACTGGATGATTGACATGGGAACATACAGTACTGAAACACAGTGGACAACCATGATATAACACATACGTGTAGCGTGGGATAGGGACCGGATGATGGACACACAGAGATACAGTACTACAAGACAGTGGCCAACCATGCTATAACACACATATACACTTAGCGTCTGTTATGGACTGGATGATTGACATGGGAACATACAGTACTGAAACAAAATGGCCAACCATGATATAACACACATATACACTTAGCGTCTGTTATGGACTGGATGATTGACATGGGAACATACAGTACTGAAACAAAATGGCCAACCATGATATAACACACATATACACTTAGCGTCTGTTATGGACTGGGTTATTGGTATGGGAACATATAGTACATAAAAACAGTGGACAACCATAATATCACACATACGTGTAGCGTCTGATATGGACCGGATGATGGT